AGCTTGGGGTAGCGGGGGCTGCAGGCAGTATCTGGCTCAAGCATTATTTGGCTTTCCTGGTTTTTAACACTCGTTTGTGACTTTTATCCTTTAAAAAGACTTTAGATTTTATCAGTGATAAAAAAAAATAATAATAAAATGGAAAGAACCTGCATTGTGAAAGGGAAACGTGATCTTGGCAGCCAGTAAACAGAAGAGTAGCCCATGCTTAGCAGTCAAAGTTCCCACCAGCTTCCCAGCCATGGAACACAGAGATACCCATGTGCATGTTTGTCAAAGTCCTCAAATTTGAGTGGTAAAAACCAAGATGGCAGAGATACAACACAGTCAAATGTCAGCCATTTTCAATTTTTAATGTGGTATTTTCCTTCCCTGAATTTCTTCATTTACATTAACCTCAATGCTTAAAGTGGGACTAAATCTAAGGGTGTCATCCAACACTAAAGGACTTCCAGTGAAATCAAGTTGCCAGGCTACTGTTTCCCTCCCACAAAAAGGGAAAAATCATCATTGCAAGAGAACTGTGCTTCAAGGGAAATAAAAATCAAGTCCCGGTTTCGATGGTACTTGCTAAGAGTTCACCTGTTTCGCCCAGCCCACACTGATGAACAGGTGGATGGAAAGGAAGCCAAGTGCATCAAAGGAGACAGACGAGGCCCTGAAGCACAACACACCTGCAAGCCTCAGCATGCACGGCGGGACGCCCAGCCCTCTGCCCGCAGGTCCGCTGGGCCCACGGCGAAACCCTCCTGCCCGCTCAGCACCTAGTACAGCTTCCTCCTGCAGGGGCACCACAGGCAGCCAGACTGACACTTCAAAAAGGAAAAACAACATGCATGACCCCAGCAGACTTCTTTCCAGAAGAAACATGGGGTTTCCAGAGACTCTGGAGGTGCTGAGCTGGCACCGAGAGCTGCTGGGGGCCATTGCTTCACAGTTTCATTCACACACTTCCCAGGGATTTCGGAGGCCGTGTCAGACAATTGCTCACTCTTGCTGAAGGCAAATCTCTAAACAGTTCCGAGGTGCTGCTGCCAACCTGCGCCAGTGCTCTGCCCAGCAGCAGACAGGCTGCGTCTTCTCTACCCTTTGCCAACACATGCCCAGCTGGGCGGCAGAGGCTCAGCTTTAAGCCTTTGAGAAAAATTTTCTACACCTCAGGAGGAGGGAAAAAAAGAGAATTTCTTTCCCCTAAAATGTGGAACTTGGAGCAGTCAAAAATCAAAAGCACTTCCCCAATCCTGGCAGGTTTAATTCCACTAAGAAATTCAATCCACTCTGTAGTTGCGAGAGAGGGGCAGGAGTCTGCTCACCCCCTGGGTATTCTGAATGCAATCCGTGTACCATGTTGGTGTCTCCCCCTTGGGAAGGGCACAGGATACTTGGGAACAATCTAGAAAAAAGCAACAAGATTACCAAAACAGTAAAAAAGAACCTGTGGGCAAAATTGTAGAACTAGACAAAAAGTAGCCACGATTTCCAAGCCAGGAAGGGCTTCTCAGCCCTGAGAGACTGGGCTAGGGAAAAGGCAAAGACACGGGCAGAGGGCAAGACACTGCCAGGACGCAGCACGATGCCCCCAAGGCAGCCTGCACATGGCAGTGCCATAGCCGCCTCCACGGACACCTCTCCCTCCACAGCCACAAGGGCCTTGCCTGCCCACAGGTCCCTGGACAGTCACAACTGGCTCCAGCCCCATGGTCAAAGCACCCTGTTGACCCTACCAGGCCAACCTATTACACATGAATGCAGGCTTGGGGCAGAGAGGTACTCTCAAGCCAGGCTGGCAAGAAGCTGTAAGCCTGTCAAAAACACAGATTCCTGACAGGACGATGGTGGTCCAGACCCCCACCTGACCAAGGTGGCATGTGCTCACCCCACCACACACAGCACCTGCACATTCCGCAGGCTACCCCGGACGACAGGATGAAGCTCTGGCTGCCTTTTGCAGACCTTCCATCTGTCCTCTTGCCCTATGATTTTTCAGTGAGACTCATGGCAAAAACTAAATCAAATTACACCCAAACCTTTTTTTTTTTGAGACAAGTCTTACTTTGTTGTCCCTGGCAGAGTCCGTGGTGTCACAGTTCACAGCAACCTCAAATTCTTGGGCTCAAGTGCTCCTCTTGCCTCAGAATCTCCAGTAGCTGGGACTACAGGCAGCCACCACAACATATGGCTATTTTTAGAGATGGAGTTTTACTCTGCTCAGGCTGATCTTGAACCTGTGAGCTCAGGCAATCCACCCACCTGAGCCTCCCAGAGTGCTGGGATTACAGGCGTGAGCCACTGCACCTGGCCCAAACCTTCATAATTAACCATCTCAACCCACCCCCTCTACCACCAGCATGAGTATACAGTGTCCCCGAGGATCAAAGACCAATGGCACAAAGGGGACACCTCTGACCCTCTCCCCCATGTCAACGTGGCCAGTCAGACAGCACTGACTCCATTAGCGCAATTAAACTAGAAATCACAATAAAATCCTCTTGGTGCCCCCCCCCACACGGCTAAGAGGTGAAGTACCACAGGCATTACTGCACCTGTGCTTGTAGCCCCACACATCCGCATGGCAGGTGCTCTGAATCCCATCAGGGCATCAGGCTTTTCGTTAGGGAAAAAACTTTTTTTTTTTTTTTGAGACAGAGCCTCAAGCTGTTGCCCTGG